GTTTCAACAATATCAATTTAGTCTTTCAAATATGTATCGTCGTTAGTTGTTAACTCTCATCATAACCTTAAAAATTTTGATGCAGTAAAAGAAATTAACATTGAACATAATATCAAAGCAATTTAGATTCAAGTTCCGACGATCACAAATCTAATATAGATATTCTCATCGTAACTGTCAATGTTTCGATCAAGATCAAGCGGAGGGGACCTTTTAACCATCTTATTATTAGACAGGGCAACATTTTGATCATCTCATTTGATACATGTTTCAAGGTTTAAAAAAAAAAAAAAAAAAACTCTTCACGTGCATTTATTCATCGTTTGATTTTATTATCATTATTATTTTTTTGTCCCATGTGCCTATCTATCTCCAATGCGACCCATGTACATAGTTTTATAATTGAGCGATATAATAATTAATAAACGGAGCGCGACCCATCACGCCCATTGTCACCTCCATTTATCATGAAACTTTAACTCCTACACCCCCCCATAACCAACCGAGACTAGTCTCATGTCCTCTCCACGAGATTCCCTTTCCGCCCATTTATTCCCTTTCTTATCACAGTTTTGATGAAGTATACGTACAGCAAACAGTGCGTATCATTTTGTTGATAATAATACCGTCAAGTGAAATTGATGTTTGTTTTGGCTCCGCCTTAAGGGGGGGAGAGATTAGAGTTCCTAATCTTCTCCGTCTTCGTTCTTGATCAATAGTGGATTGTCGATCTCGCCGGTTGTGCACGTAGGCATCTTACCGAACCTTTATAAGAGTACAGAAACAATCGATATTTCTGCGGGAGCTAGCCTGTCAATAAGAATCTCAAGTTGAAGAAAAATTTAACATCTAGAAAAGGGGAAAAAAAAATACAGTCAAACAATCCCTGCATGCAGGGACGAACAAAACCAAATATTTGAACGTACAGCTCGAATATCTCTATTTGGCATGAATAGGTAACACAGTAAGGATCAATTAATTGGAAGTATCAAGCGGACCCGATCCGTTAAAAACCCGACCGGAATAACGAACATTGGGATCTAACACACGACCGGGAGGAGCTTCTAGGGATCAGCATACGCTGCTTTTTTTCCCCTTCTTTTCCTGGCCCACCACGCACAGCGATGGGCCCACTCCGCGGAGAAGTCCTCCAGCAATACACACATATATATTTATATATCCAGAGCTTGAGATGAGCTAGAGATCGGAAAATTAAAAAAAGAAAAAAAAACAAAAAACAAAGATGGGCATTTTCGTAAGCAAATGCCGCACCGACCGCTGTGAGAAGACCCCAGCCCAGCTCACGGCCCAAATCCGGACCCTGGAAGAGCAGATCGCAAGCCTGAACCTCCAACAGGAGGAGGAGAGGAGGGAGAACAGCAGCGAGGTCGAGAGACTGAGGAGGAGGATCGAGGACGACGAGGAGAGGATGAGGAGCTTGGAAGGAGAGCTGATGGCGAGCAGGGACGTTGAGGGCGAAGAATGGCAGCATTGGCTCGGGACCGAGTGCTTGGTGGAGCACATGAAGGAGGAGCAGAAGCGGAGAGAGGTTCAGGTTGAGAAGTGGAAGAGTCTGTATCTTACTATCAAGAACGAGCTTGACGATTTGATTCTTAGGACTAAACAAGGTAAGCGTTTATTTATTTATTCATTTATTTATTTTGAGTTAATTTTTGGTAGTTTAATTGGTAGCAATTTTTTTTATAAATTTTCTTGAGTTAATTTTTGGTAGTTCAATGCAACATTCTTAGTGTTTAAGTTTCCAAACTGAACCTTAAAGATAATACAATCACTAACTTGGATTCTAGGGGACACAAATTTCATTAGGAACCTCCTAGTATTTGTCATTTACATATATTAAATCAGTGATCAACAGTCTTAGCTTTAGATCTCTTTAGGAGTAATTTCAATGCCTAGTTAATTAAAAGCATTCACTTATTTGACAGCCAGCAACACTTTGTTACAGCTTTAAATATTGCAGTCTCTTTAGAGATTGTTTCCTAAGTGTGGGGTGTTTCTGTGTATAACTCACATGGAAGCAATATGTGTGAACTAATTATATGCTTTTCACTGCCTTTATTATTAGAGACAAAAAAGACAAATCAATCAACATCTACTTCATTTCCTTTGATTATTTTTTCCCCCGTCCTCTATCCTGGTTTAACTTTGTTGTTTTTCCAAAGGTAAATATGTAATATATATATAACAACAGTACATCAATAAACATTTGTCTAATTAATACCTATGGTTTGTAAGTAACACTTTCACTGATTTCGTTAGGCAATTTTAAAAAAATACCACAGGCTTAAACATCATAAACTCTTCTTCTATAAGAGAAAAAAAAGGGTCATGATTTCTTTTACTAAATTACCAAATCATATGAGTTATCTTAAAGTCCTTCTAACTATTAGACTGAAACTCTAAAGTGGTGATGGCTAATCGTTATATTTTTATATTTTAACATGTCATCGCAGGTTGAACACACTTTTAGTTGACCAAGTGGGATTTGAACCCGGGTCGATGTGATACCATCGTCCTCTAACTATTATACTAAGGATGTGCGGGAACCACTCTGAAATTGGGTCAGGGCTAATCATAGCCCTGTTTGAAACAAAACTGGTTTCGTTTTTGATCAGTGGGAGGTGATCCAAAACAAAACGCGTTTAAATGCCAAATTTGGCCCTAGAAAAACGAAATTAATCTTGGTCCGGTTTTATCCAAACAAATTTTTTTGTATATGAACCTTCAGTAGTATTGTTATTTGGAACTTATTATTCATGTTGTTTAATCTTGGAATAATAATTTTTTCTTAAACTTAGACTGGCTCGCTAATTTCATCCATTGACAATATCTGCTAAAATTTCACCCAGGATAAAATAGTCAATAAAACTTCACCTAAGGGGTCTATCAGTCAACATCCAACTATAGGGGTGATAAATTTCAAAGCGCGACGCCATAGGGTCTACGTGCAATTAACCCATTTTAGATATAAGAAGTTAGGGGTGTGACCAACAATTAATGAGGGAAAATTAAGTAAATAATTGTATTTTTTTTCCTTGCAGGAGGCAGATTTATCTTAGGAGCAAATGAAGATCTTATCGATAGGCTTCAGATGGAGGTGATGGCAAAAGAAGAGACCATTGAAATGCTGAGATCTCGCATCTCATTAATGGAGAAGGAAGAGAAGAGGAGAGAAAGAGAAATTGATATTTTGAGACAGAGCTTGAAAATTCTCAACAATACAAAGAGAAATGGGATGAGAAGGAATCAACAGAGCCGCTGGCTGTTGTGAAACATTGGAAGGTTGATTACATGTTAATTAGCTTGGAAGATAGCAGTCAATCACAGATGTAATTTGTATAAGGAAAACATATGGAATTACATATGAATCATCTTTTGATTTTTGTCAATCACATGTTGGTTCTCTGTTCAAGTTATTGCTTGATTACATATAATCTAGTTACTTTGTACATGTGTTTTTACTAAAAGGCTTCAAGAATACTATGATTGCTAAAGAAATTGCACTCTTTGAGTTTGATTTGCCCTCTTCATGAAATCTTTCTTGCGACACCGAAAATCCGAAAATAAAAATATGATTTTTAACTCTAGCATGTCATTGTAGAGTGAGCGTTCTTTTTTGAACCAAAATTTGATCTGTTTTGATTCAGCCTTAACTGTATCCCTTGAGATTTTATTCTAGATTGCACATTGACACTTAAAAAGCTATTATGGTGATGGTTGGAGGTTATAAAGCAATTTATCGAATGTCAAGAATGATTAAGCAATGTGCTCTTACATTCCCAAATAAGAAAAAGACTATTATAGTTAAACAGAAAGATATTTATATATTATGTAGCTTATATGATTGAAATCTTCACTGCATTTTCATGTGGAGAATATAGATGCTAAGCATTTTTCTTAAGTGAATTAGGTAGCTAAGAGAACTCAATTAAGATAAGATCAACCTCGGTTCCGCTGTCGGCCTTTTATATATGGGCTTCTGAATTAGACGGGAGTTTGGGAAACTGTTGCTAATTTTTGAAAGTCACAACACAGCACAAGGTATACTGTATGAAGCTCTCTCCCTCTCATCGATTTGGGCTATGGGCTTTGATTTAAAGGCCTTACTGGGCCTTCAGTTTGTTTTGAATGAAGAGCTCAGAGCCGAACAATAGACGCCTCGGTCACTCAACGGATGGGCAAACTTGTCATTTCCCCACCCCGCCACCAAATCCCTTCATATAAATAAACCTCCACTCCCTCTCCAAACCCTAACCCTAGACTGCCCACCTCCAATATCTCCCGAACCCTAACCCTAATCGATCAAAATGCCGGCGGGCCACGGTCTCCGATCTCGGACTCGCGACCTCTTCGCACGCGCCTTCAGAAAGAAGGGCTACATCCCGTTGACGACGTACCTTCGCACGTACAAGATCGGCGACTACGTCGACGTTAAAGTTAACGGCGCCGTCCACAAGGGGATGCCTCACAAGTTCTACCACGGGCGAACTGGGAAAGTCTGGAATGTGACCAAGCGCGCCATCGGAGTTGAGATCAACAAGCAGGTAAATTTGAGATCTGGACCTCTCAATCGTAAAGTTTGAATTTTTTTGTGGGATTTTCCGGTGTTTACTGTTCTATTTCGGTGAAATGTTGTGTTCTGAGCGGTAATTTTGTTAGTGTTTGCGATTAAATGTAATGTGCTTAGTGAAAAGGTAATAGTTTGTGCTGAAATCGTGCATTAAACGAGAGAAATTCTCACAATTTGTTTTTTTTGGGGGGAATATAAATGGTTTGTCCTGTTCGTGTGAAATATTGATTATAGGATAATATTTATAATTTAACTTTAAAAAAGATAAAATAAAAGGGATGGGAATAAGCTTACTTGATCTATCATGAGCATTAAGGATATGGGCAGATAACTAGATCTTTTTGAAGATAGAATTAGGGTTTGATATATGACTTTATAAACTGGCTCATGGATGCTGCAAGGAAAGACTCCATGGACATTTTGGCTCATTTAGTTATCTTTGGGTGAACAATGAAAACCAGTTATAAGTTGAACCTTTTGGTCAACATATTTCTCATTTTGAAAGTTTTATGTAATTAAGAATGCATAATCTCATCTTCTTGTTGTGATCATTGCTTGGATTTTGTCCCAAGCATTGTTTTTAATTGAACTTAGTCTCTAACCTAAAAAAGCTCTAATCTTTATACCGTTATGAGCCTTGCACTCTAGTGTAGGCAGTGATCTATTTTCACTACTTAGATTGTCCCTATTGAGCAATAGTTTGAGACTGATGTTATGTTGTTCATCTTGTAAAATATCGATTTTATTCATATGCTAAAACCTGAAAACTCTGATTGGGCATGTGTATCCTAGTAAGATTTTTAATATATATAGTCTGCGCCAATTGCAGCCTGTGTTTTTTGCAATTTATTTATGTTGCCTCTGGATTTTTTATGTTACATCCATTGTCTAGTGTAGCACTTGTTCACATTTGCCAAGAGTAGTCCAGCAGGGTATATAGCTAATTGTCCTCCAATTATTAACCGAGTAATTAATGGGAACAGTATGAGCCATTTTGATTTTATAGCATTTATCACTTGCTATTTTAAAACAGGGAAGATGGTTTTGGTTGCTAGATGATGTTATGTAATTCTTTGTAATTCTTGTCACTGCATACTTCAGGTGGGCAACAGAATCATCAGGAAACGTATCCATGTGCGTGTGGAGCACGTGCAGCCATCAAGGTGCACCGAGGACTTCCGTCTGAGGAAGATCAAGAACGACAAGCTGAAGGCCGAGGCCAAGGCTCGCGGCGAGACCATCAGCACCAAGAGGCAAGCCACTCTGGAGACTGTTACTCCCATTCCTTATGATGTGGTCAATGATCTTAAGGGGGGTTACTAGATCGTGATAGAGCATAGATTTGCTTTGGTGCTGTTTTTATCTTTTGTCGTAGTTGTTTGGGATGCTTCTATTTTGCCAAATTTTGATACCTTAAGACTAAACTTGCTGCTATGTTAAGTTTTGGATGTTTAGTTTTAAAGTTTGTTGCTGAAATGAGAAAATGCTATTTGCAAGACAATATGTCTGTACATCTGTGTGCATTGGCTCACCATGCAATAATATATTGGTAATGTTTAGAAGGGGTGCTTAAACTGCAGCTGTGATTATAGCTTATGCTGTGATTTCTCTACCAACTGCGTTTGCTGTACCTAATGCAATTGTTGGTGCTTGAGATGGGTGTACGTTCTGCTTAGCCTTAGAACCAGATATGTTAATTGTATGCCAAACTTGATGCATAGGCTGCTCATGCACCGTTCTGCTTAGCCTTAGAACCAGATATGTTAATTGTATGCCAAACTTGATGCATAGGCTGCTCATGCACAAAATGTTGTGGGCTAGATCAAAGATATGTTAATTGTATGCCAAACTTGATGCATAGGCTGCTCATGCACAAAATGTTGTGGGCTAGATCAAAGATAGGCAGCATTCTAGCTCTGAACAGTGAATATCTTTAGAAGAGATGCAAATTTCAACGGCAACTCAAATGTTACCTCCCATAACAAGCCATACAGTAGAACATATGCATGACGCATACACGTAGCATTCTGAATCTTTGTAAAAGGATATTATATGTATTTTCATTCGTAATCCCCAAGACCCTGAAATAGTGAAGAACATCACAAGAAAAGGATGGAGGCAAAATGGGGGAAAAGAATAGGAAGTAAATCCCACAAAGAGGCTGTTGTTCCAACAAGAAAGCAACTGTCAAGCTTAACAACGAGTCCAAGTTACATATCTGATGCATGAGAGATGTATCACCATTATGCCATTATCAAA